TATATATATATATATAATGTCAGGGTGAGGATGAAAAATAATATAATATGACAATGCCCACTGCCCACTGAATACAGAAGGCGGGAAAGTTAAAACACTGAAGATTTTGTGTGTAAAAAAAATTGCTTTTGCCAAAAAACAGTGCAAGAAGAAGGAAAAATACCCCCCTCCACCAGTCACTCACAATTACAATTTATGAACAAAACCAAAGCAGTAAGTCCTGTCCATAGGACAGAGCTTTTCCAAACCACCAGGAATTCCCTGCATGTCCATAAAACACCTGAGGAAGGTAAGGCTTGAATAAAACTCGTTCTCAGCTGTGACAGATGAAGCCCTTGTGAACTTTGTGCAGCTGCTGGTGCATTAGAGATCCAAGGATTTCATGATGGCATCCCTGTCAAATCTGAAGCCAAGAAAGGCTTTGGAAGAGAAGGGGTACGTTGCTGTCCCATTACCAGCTTCATCTCCATTAAGGTCATACTGTTGTCCTTCAGATGGATAGACCATGTCGATTGCACAGTCTGTCAAACAATCACAAGATAACAGTTATACCATATCCTTCCCAACACCCACATAAAAACATTTGATGATGAAACACAGAGAATAATAAGCAAAAATGAACCCTATACATTTGTTAGTGTCATATAAAAGCTTGTGCATTTCAAGAAATACTGAGCCCTGTGACTCAGAGTGAAAAACGACATCCTGAAGAGGACAAAGAGATCTTTGTACTTGCAGTCAAATCTGTTTTTTTAGGTACACAGGATTGAGACAATTGAGTTCTACTGCTGCCTACAGAAGGAAGGATTTGGACACTTGGAGAAAAAAATAAGTAGCCAGCACATTATAACACCTCCAACTATGCCTCTGTTTAGCAGAAAAGCAGTACAAGGCTAAGAATATAAACCCAGAGGGGTGAGACCTGTGTCCCATAATGAACACCAAGAAATAGAATTTTCTAGAAGTACAAAAATCCTAAAGAACCTTAACCTGGAAGTCGTCATCAGATGAGGCCTTAACATCCACCTGATAAAAATTTGAGAACCTGTGAGCTGAAGACCAGGTGGCAAACTTGCTAATTTGGGAAACAGTTGCCTGATCCTAAAAAGCCGAAGAGGTAGTCACAGATCTAGAAAATGAGCTTGAACAGGACAGGGTAGGACTGGATCCTTAAGACCATAAAGTTTAACAATGATCTGTGCAAGCCAACGAAAAAAAATGGTAGAACGGGAAGCCATTTCCCCTTCATGGATAACATCAGGAATGGCAAAATAAAAATCAGCCTTTGTAATGGAAGCAGTCGTGGCTGCAAGGTTAACCCGTACAACAAACTACATCCAGACTGAAAACAAATTTCCTTCTGATGTACAGAGATGGGCAGAGAGACAGAAAAACAATGAACCAGAGGCATTACTCCAGGCTGGCCAATGTTTTGTTTTTTGGGGGTTTTTTTGCTTGCTGGCAGCACCTGTTAGAATACAATATAAACAGTGGGATTCTTCGTTCCACATGCTGTTTGTGTTAATGGAGGAAACAGGGTCTATTTTTTTCAGTCAGCCCACAGGTTGAATGAAAAAAAATTGATAGGTGAATGGCTATATATATATAGTTTTAGGCAGATGTGAAAAAATGCTGTAAAAGTTAGATTTCTTTTACAAATATATATATATTTATGTATAAACTAAATATATATATATTTATGTATAAACTATGTGCAGCGCTCCAATCAAAGTATGCAAAACACAAACACCTCAATAGTTATGATCAAAACAATAAAACTAAATGTGCATTAAATACACAAAAATAGCATAAACTGGCAAGCACCTGTTACCCACATAAACTAAATGCACCAAATTATGAGCAGTCTTTGTCAGCTTTTCAGTGAACACATAGTCCCACACTAGTGAATAGTATCCTGTGCAATTATAAACAGTCTTTATTAACTTTTCTGCAACCAAATAGTCCCAAAATGGTGTGTGATATCCATTAATTGTTTATTTTTATCAATTTACAAAATGTGAAGTGAGTGAACAGAAGAAAAATCTATCTGGGTTATTCCCTAAAGGGTGAAGAGTTTGGAGAAGGCAGGATAAGTGAACAATCTAGCACAACATAGCTGAACTGGAAAGTGATCTGAATTGGAGAAATGTTTCCATATCAGCTATGTTATCCTAGATTGTTCACTTCTCCTGCCTTCTCCAAACTCTTCACCCTTTAGGGAATAACCCTGTAAATCAAATTAATATTTGGTGTGACTAGCCTTTGGCTTCAAACCAGCATCAATTCCTACACTTGCACAATGTCAGGGATTTTGTAGGATTAGTCAGGTGTATTATTAACCAATAATAGCAAGCAGGTGCTAATGATCATCACTTTCATATGTAGGTTGAAAACACAGTCATGAAATAAAACAGCTGTGGAGGAGGCTTTAGGCTCCATTCACATATAGGTCTATAGGCGATTCGCTGTAAAAATAAAGTAGCGCGAATAACGCGCGTTTCCGAAGGCTACTTGGCTGTATCCCAATGGAAACGCGCAACAAAACGGCCCAAAGTAGTACATGTACCTTTTCAGGCGTGGGCCTTTTTGTAGCGCGTTAGGGACGGGCGGAAATATGCCAAGGTGGGAACGAGACCATTGAATACAATGGGATTTATATTTTTGAGCGTTTTGTAGAGCGTTCGTCGAGCGTAGAACGCGCTACAAAACGTTCAGGTGTGAACGAGGGCTTAAAGTTGCCCGTGCGGTTTTCTGTGCAGAAGACTGCACAGGACCCAAACACTATATGTGAAACAACTGCACGGATTCTGCTTGTTTGTGGCTATTATATAGCTGTGAACATGCGGAATCTGCCGTATTATCACGCTTGCACTATTTTAGGGGCTGCGCGGTTTCATACAATGCAGTCCCCGCAATAGTCTGAACAATGCACATTGATGTGCATTGTTTTTTCTGTTTAGAGCGGCTCTGAGCTTAGTTATACAGCCGAATACGCGCCGACAGCCACCCCAGTGTGAATGGAGCCTTAAACTGGGTGAGGAACAGCCAAACTCTGTTACTAAGGTGAGATTGTGTAAGAAAGGTCACAAAGGTCATACACCATGGTAAGACTAAGCACAGCAACAAGACACAAGGTAGATATACTGCATCAGCAAGGTCTCTCCCAGGCAAAAATGTCAAGGCAGACTCTTGTTTCAAGAGGTGCTGTTCAAGCTCTTTTGAAGAAACGCAAAGAAAACGGGCAACATTAAGGACCGTAGAGACACATCATGTTTACTTCCTTTCGACATGGGAAGATGTCCAGCAGTGCAATCAGCACCAAACTGGCAGAAACCAATGGTGCCCAGGTACACCCATCTACTGCCTAGAGAAGTCTGGCCAGAAGAGGTCTTAATGGAAGAATTGTGGCCAAAAAGCCATACCACCAACGTGTAAACAAGGCTAAGCGACTCAACTATGCATAAAAACATAGGGACTGCGGTGCAGAAAAATGGCAGCAGGTGCTCTGGACTGATGAGTCAACATGTGAAATATTTGGCAGTAGCAGGAGGCAGTTTGTTCGCTGAAGGGCTGGAGAGCAGTACAATAATGAGTGACTGCAGCAACAGTGAAGAATGTTGGAGGTTCCTTGCAAATCTGGGGCTGCATTTCTGTCAATGGAGTTGGAGATTTGGTCAGGATCAATGGTGTCATCAATTCTGAGACATACAAGCAGATACTTATCCATCATGTCATACCATCAGGGAGGCGTGTGGTTGCCCCCAAATTTATTCTGCAGCAGGACAACAACCCCAAAACATACAGCCAATGTCAATAAGAACTATCTTCGTAAAGAAGAACAAGAAGTCCTAGAGGTGAGGATTTGGCCCCCACAGAGCCCTGATCTCAACATGGAGTCTGTCTGGGATTACATGAAAAGACAGAAGGCTTTGAGGCAGCCGACTAATCTGAGGTTAGTTCTCCAAGATGTTTGGAACAACCTACCTGCTGAGTTCCTTCAAAAACTGTGTGCAAGTGTACCTAGGAGAATTGATGCTGATTTAAAGGGAGTAGTCCATGCCTTACTTTACAGTATTATTTTCACACCTGCCTAAAACTTTTGCACAGTACTGTAATATATAGATATAGAGAGAAT